CCCATAAGATGGGCAAGCCATATGGTCGAAAAAAGTTATAATCACGAGATAAAAATTTATCATCAGAGAATTCCCACCCTCCTGTTTTGTTTGGCCTGGAGCGGGAGAATTGGATTCAATTTAACAAGACCTGTATCTTGAATGTTATCCTCGGAAATGTATGGCGGACAAGGAAAACTCAGCATGTCTCTGAAACAATGCCAGGTTAAAATACAGAACCCAGTCGAGTATCGCTTGTTAGTTGTTGCATAAAATTCAAGGGCATTAAGGTTGCTTCGTAGGCTAAGGACATCCAATTGTTAGATCTTATTTTCTTATCCTGCATCCTAGGTTCAGGTTGAGCAGCCAATGCTCCTTTTGATTCCCAAAACTGGCAAGTAATGGATTACAGAAAATGACGGTAACTGTTCGAGTCATAGCATAATTTATTGAGTATTAAACTTGCTGGTGCTGCATAATTAAAATCTTACATCGGGTTTTGGGTCGCGTTAAACAATATACATTACTTGTTCAAAACCTAATTTTATCTGTACTGTTTATACTAGAACCTAATCCGAATCCTAACAATCTATAAAATATCCAACTTATTTGGGAAATCTGTTCGGATTGATGCCTATCGTGTTTGTTTCAAATCCTAACCATGAAGTTGCACTATCTGTTAGGAAGCAACTTTGTTTTTATCTGCCTTTTCTTTTCTCCAATAGATTGGATAAGGCTAAAGTGCTACTACAGCAATTGTACGAATATTCCAATTAGGGATGCAATGGACATAAATGATAGCATACTGTGCAACTTTGGTATGCCATTCCAACACGAAAGATGATTGCAAGATGCAGTGGTGAAGCTTTCAACTATAGTTTATAAGAACAAAATTAGGCTTGAAATAATCGTTGATAGACTATTCTACAACATTACCATCTTGCTCACGAAACAAGATGGCGCTGGAAAAGTTGATAAGAAATTCGAAAGATATGCAAGTCTCCTTTGGATTTAGAGAATAGTGGGTTTCGGAAAGCCATAATAGTGTAATTTAGGGCAGAAAGGGACACCTACAACTCCACTTCTATGGCGCAGGGAAGGAAATTTTGCCACAAAAGAGCTTCAATTTCCCACTGAAATATAAAGCTGTAACTTTTTTTTTTTGGTTTAACCAGTTAAATTTAAGCAATAATGATATTAAAATATAAAATTGATCTCAGATGCTAATTAGAAAACTCTGATGTTCTTTGAATAGGAAACCTTGGACAAATATACCAATTTAATTGAGAAGATTTCGCCTTTGGTGTTCTAGTTCACTCGTGGGCAACAGCTGTATGAAAAATATTATAATTATTTATTTTATGATAGCAATTTTCTCAACAAAGTCTTGGAGCTTTGCCTAATCGATGAAAACGAATGACATAAACGAATTGTCAGTTGGGAATATAAGAAGCTCAGGTGATTTTTCTCCAGTTAGCCGACCGTATATCATTATATATAACAAAAAGTTTGGTGTTTCTATTTTGTTTTTAGTTTATATATATAAACTAAAAACAAAAAAGAAATACCAAACTTGCTGTTACGAGTTTCGGCTGTTTGTTTTTCGTTTTATATATATATAAAAACAAAAAACAAAAAAGAAACAGCCGAAATTAACTCGTAACAAGAAGTTTGGTGTGAAAATCCAAGAACTGAAACTAAAAACTTGGAACTCTCTATATCTACATCAATCTTTCGTGAAAATCTAGAGCCGAAAAACCAAATATTCTACGTCATGTTTTATTGTTAACTTAAAATTGTGATTAAACATCGTGTTTTGTTTTGTGCATGGTTATAAAACTTGGCCAAATCCACTGCTTATTCTGTTCAATATGAACTTGTTTAGTTTTGAATTTTATATTAAATTGAGTTAGAATCGGTCTGTTAATCTAGTAAAAATTAGAATTAAACTAAAATCAAAGTAAAATCTAATTTGATTTTTTAAATTTTTTTTATAAACATCATTTTAGATTTATACGTACGATTAACCTGAATTAATTCAGTTTTGAGGTGTGTTTAGGAGTTTTATAATTGAATGAATAACTTTTTATGATGATGGAGATGAGTATAGTGTTTTAAAGAGAATGATTCAAGTAATAAAATGAAATAAGGGGATTCATAGAATTTGTGCAATATTTTTTTTTCGGATACGTACATCGTTAATTTAAACCGAGATTAGTGCAAAAATATCGTTTTCGAGTGACTCACTAACCTCCACGAAGCAGAATATGTAAAAGATTGTTTCCTTTATTCTCCTTTTAATTAATCAATTCCTTTTTTTTTTTCTATATATTCCTTAATTTCATCCATTTAAAAATCAAGGATTAATTACTTGGGTTTAGAACCTAGGTTAATCCATCATTTACAAGTATATATGCCTTACATATATATATATATATATATATATAGCTGGGATAATTAAGAAATTTTATATTTATGTTGTTTTATTCACGATGCCATTTACCCCTATAAATTCATGTCTAACAACAACTACTTACGGCAGAAAAATTCTAGTTCAGGGAGCTGTTCTTCGGTGCAGCTTGAAGCCATGGACTGATCAAATTAAGAAGCACGGCTAGTGAATCTGATCCCTGTGATCCAATTGTTTGTCCTAAGGTAACCGAATGTTTTTACATTATTCCATTCTTGAATAAGAAAATATTTTTACCTTAGTCCATTCTTTAAACAAATAATACAGTAATGTTATGATGAAAAAAGAAAAGGAAAAATATTTTGCTTTTGATAAAAATAAAACAATTTTGTTTTTTAACAGGAGACCCGGATAAAAAATAAATTTTATTGTTCATGGTAAGAGTGTAATATAAAATCATTATTAGTACTTAAATTTTTTATTTAAAATATTCTTTGATTTGCCACTAAACAATTACGAGTTAATACCTTAATTATAAACTTTAATTAATCTCGTTGATTTTTCAGAGGCACGTTTTGCACAAAAACAGCCATGGATATATATTATCATGGAAAGATAGCGAAAGGCTGCAATGCATGTCACGTACGGCATTTCTTTCTTTGCAGAAGGGCCCTCCTGGTTTTAACGATGTTTGTCTGCTAACGCCCCTGATGGAAACTTGGGGTTTCATGGCTTGCTCAATTCCTTGGTCAAAAAAAAATTCCTGTGCTGTTGATTGAAACTTGGCTTAAGTTCTAGGCTAGTGTTCAAAATAATTCTAAATTGGCTTCTTTAAGAATGCACGAGTCCGTGTTGACTAGGAGGTGTTGTCAAAACACCTTCCTTAGCAACCAAATCATCTTAATTAGTGCATGTTATACCATACAAATAGAAGGTGTTTTGACAACAAATGAATTTTCAGGGCAGAATAATGTAACGAGTAGTAGAACTGCTCAGGGCAAGTCACAGAAAAAGTGGTATTAATAGAAAAGGTGGTATTAATGTTTAAGTGGAAGAATTAATTGGAGAATTTAACAATATATAGAGGCTGGTGAGAGTGAGACACATGCATGTGCATGATGGAAGAGTCATTAAAGGAGGTAATGAGAAATGATCCTAGGATGGAGCTTCATGAGGTTGCCAAACTTGGGACTGAAGATAAGAAGCAATTCATGGAGAGTCCATGCAAAATTGTTGAGGAAGACTATCATTACCTGAGGAGGCTA